TGTAACTGTCAGGAGTCAGGGTGCAATAAATAATGGCTACGTACATTTGTTTGTAACTCCTTATAATTACAAACAAATTTACGTATCCATTATGTCATTCTGTCAGGAATAAAATATTTTGGACAGGGACTTATTTTCCATCAAGACAGCGATCCCAAGTATGCAGAAACTGTGATGAAATGATACCTGGATGTAAAAAACCAATTTCTGTCCGAGGTAAAAATCCCGCCTATTATTTCTGTGGTATGCTCTATAACAAATACCAGGGTTTACTGATGTACTTTGTTGTAAGACGAAGTAGACTGTGTTAGCTATGAAAGTACACAAGTAACTAAAAAACATTCCTGATCAGTTCCTTCAGTCAAGTGTGTTTAACAGTTTGGTGAATTCTGTTGAGGAATCAATCTGACATGTTACAATAGCATCTATATATAGCACAGTGTGCACAACACGTCACAGATAAGCACTACTCTTGCTGCTATTAACGTAGAACGTGGAGAAATATTTGACTTGTTTCCTACACATTCAAGCTTTTCATCCACCATAGAACAAGTGTTTCTTTGCGACATTCCGTAGAGGCTTCTCTCCCTGTTGGTTGTGCAAACTTATCGTGGGGCACAAATAACTTGTTGCCATGGAAACTATGAGTTTGTTGTTGCAGGAACAATAAGTAGAGAAATCGTATAGAGATGAGGAGTGATTAGACATGGCGACATCCACATCGCCCACCTCTCCGCAAAATGTAAAATATCAGTTTAATTTCCGAAAATACCTTTTCCAGTGAATCAATGCAAGCTCGAATATTTCTTGTTCGTTTATTTCCTTTTATCTGCTGCGTCTATAGCGGGGATTGAACTCCTGATTTTAGCGGCGTCTAAGTCTTTAAAATTACCGCTGTCCCACAGGCGGACGTTTGGATAATAATAACAATAATGGAAAATTCTGTAAATGACGACAAACGTACTACTCGTAAAGAAATGGTCTCAACTTCCAGTCAGTATTTACGATGATCAGATAAGGATTGAAAAGAGCTGAGATATTAATTACGACATAGCTCTGAACGAAGAATTCTGTGGGTTTATACCGCTAAAATTCGGGTTTCGATACTCGCAGTGGGCAGAGCACAGATAATTCTTTGTGTATCTTTGTGTTTAACAAGAAACAAACAAACAAATGTTTCGTCACAACCTTACGATGTGCTTCTGTTAAATAAACAACATAGTACTGGAAAACGTAAGACAAGACTGTGTGATAATAGCATCATTTGAGTTTCCAATCACACCAATTTATACCAGATTACAATCTCTATGAGAGTTATTTTTAAACAAAGTTTTTCACCATGGATGATGTAATTGTTACTAACCTCATATATCTTGTCAAAAAAGTCTAATTATGCAGCGCACAAATATTTACAAGGTGTCCAAATATGATGTTATATAGGCCTAAAACGCATGCCCGCTTCTAACCCTTACTAAGGCGCTTTTCTGTACCTGTATGGTTCGATCAACGACAATCTAATACCTAAAAAAGAACTATTAAAAAATAAAAGTGTTAGAACCTAGTCTACATTTCAATGTCTTGTACTACGAGCGACGAAAAGCTACAAAAGAGAAAGAATAAAAACTTGGTTAACGTCGCGATATCTGATATTAAAGAAGGTCGTTAGGCTTAAGAATATTTTGTGCACTATAAGTTTCAAACTTTTATTTTTAATCTTGACCACACATTGGCCAAAACTGCTATACACTTGTCTAGAATGAAGAAAGAGTGAGCTCAATCAGCGATACTGGAAAAATCGATTTAGCAACTTGCGTAAAATATAATGTTGTGTGAAAATACATTATATCCACTCTATAATGTTGTGTGAAAATACATTATATCCACTCTATAATGTTGTGTGAAAATACATTACATCCACTCTATAATGTTGTGTGAAAATACATTATATCCACTCTTTAATGTTGTGTGAAAATACATTACATCCACTCTATAATGTTGTGTGAAAATACATTATATTCACTCTATAATGTTGTGTGAAAATACATTATATCCACTCTATAATGTTGTGTGAAAATACATTACATCCACTCTATAATGTTGTGTGAAAATACATTACATCCACTCTATAATGTTGTGTGAAAATACATTATATCCAATCTATAATGTTGTGTGAAAATACATTATATCCACTCTATAATGTTGTGTGAAAATACATTATATCCACTCTTTGAGTAAAACGTTAATGCAGAGCACCCTTCATATCTCTTTTCCATCCAGATATAATGAGGACAATTGATAATCAAATGATATGAACTACTTTTCCATCCAGATATAATGAGGACAATTGATAATCAAATGATATGAACTACTTTTCCATCCAGATATAATGAGGACAATTGACAATCAGATGATATGAACTACTTTTCCATCCAGATATAATGAGAACAATTGATAATCAAGTGATATGAACTACTTTTCCATCCAGATATAACGAGAACAATTGATAATCAAATGATATGAACTACTTTTTCATCCATATATAATGAGAACAATTCACAATCAGATGATATGGACTACTTTTCCATCCATATATAATGAGAACAATTCACAATCAGATGATATGAACCACTTTTCCATTTTTCTCCCTACTTTCAACTTCTCTTTGGTAGCTCCAGCTCAACGAAAGCCAGATTCTGATTTATCTGGTTTGTGTGAGCGAGATTATGATTACTGCTCACTAAGAAAAGAAACCTATCGACCACGGTTCATATCTCTTGAAAAGTTTTATCGCCATTGGTATACTCGCACATACATAGTTTAAGTGGATCTTTGTTGGAGAATATATATAGGTTTTTTTGCTTGACAAATATTAGTCTACAAAATTTATTTTACAGCGTATTGAAGAGACCTTAGCTAAATACACAAAATTCAAAGGATTTTTGTGGGAGAATATATATAGCTCTTTTGCTTGATGGATATTAGTCTAAAAAATTTATTCTACAACAAATTGAATAAACTTTAGTTAAATACGCAAAATTCAAACAAGAGTGGTCACTAAAGTAGAAAACACTAGATCGGAACGGCATTGATATTGTTGAAATGAATGAAAGGTAAGGGCGTCATTTACTTCTAAATCACATCAAAATAATTATGAAATGTATAACGGATAAACATCTACGTGCTTTACTTTATATTTCGTCAATTTGGGTTTCTTCCAAAAGCAACTAAGCCTTTTTTCTGTATTTTTGATGTTACTCGCTGTAAACTCTATTACTGCAACATTTTTACTAGTAATAATTGGCCGAGAAGATTTAAATCATAGAGTGAAAACCTGTGAAGCTCGTTGTTCATGGTAAAGGATTATTTCAAGCGTATTTTATGTGTCAAAAACATAGATAGGGAGATAGATAAAAATGTAGACAGGCAAAGAACTAGAGCGAAAGTCTCCCATCTTAACAAAATGACAAATAATATAATACTGTTATATAACGTTATTATAATCATATGTATTAAAATTATACTGTTGACTGATGAGTAAACTGGAATGGATGGCAACTGTCTTCAAGTCCAAGACGACTAGGAATAATTATGAGTAATAATTGGTTGTGTAACGTAAAACTCTGAAATGTATAACGGATAAACATCTACGTGCTTTACTTTACGTTTCGTCGACTTGGGTTTCTTCAAAAGCAACTAAGCCTTTTTTCTGTATTTTTGATGTTACTCGCTGTAAACTTTATTACTGCAACATTTTTACTAGTAATAATTGGCATGTTTTGTAACGTAAAACTCTGAAATGTATAACGGATAAACATCTACGTGCTTTACTTTCGGTTTCGTCGACTTGGGTTTCTTCAAAAGCAACTAAGCCTTTTTTCTGTATTTTTGATGTTACTCGCTGTATACTCTATTAC